ACCTTATGTATTAGTTGATTTTGGTATTAAAACTTGTATGTTGTTATACACGAGACTGTACGGATCTGTCACTTGAAAAGTCTATCATGCCCCTCATTTCGAAAATGACAATTTAGCTCTTAACTTACCTTTGTACTGGCTTGAAAAGACGTTTTGGAACCGTCGCCAGCAACCGCCGTCAACCGCCCAAGACGAAACATTTTGAAACGTCGTCTGGTCGGTTACATCAACCGCCTCGCCAAACGCCTCCACCAGTTCCAGAACTCAAATAGTCCAACCAACCAATCCAGAGACCAATCGCTAGACCAAAAGACTCCTTGGCCGCACCCACTAAGCAACATGTCTATCCGCCTGCGGACCAGCTGACTTGCCTATCCGACCGCAGACCAGCCGACCTACTTTATCCGACCGCAGACCATCAGACTTGTCTGTCCGACCGCTAACCATCCGACCGAGGACCAACCGACCAGACCAACCGACCGAGGACTTTCCGACCTACCCATCCGATCGCTAACCAACCGACCTGATCATCCGGCCGAGGACCAACCGACCAGACCAACCGACCGAGGACCTTCCGACTTGCCTATCCGACCGCTAACCAACCGACCAAACCAAACGACCTGATCCACCAACCTGAGCGCAAATAATTCGATTGTATTTTTGTTTTACAGTTTATATTTCAAATAAATAATATTTCACTACATTACATTATAGAATAGTCGCGCGGTATACCGCGCAAGAGCGTGTTCTAGTATATATATAAACCTCAAAGTTTGTTTCATTTGTGTTTGGATTCAAATTTTTTATTTAGATTATATATTATATTCCGTACTACCGACTTAAAAATTTCATTTATTTGCGTTATTGTACTTAACACTAAAAATATTCTTATAATAGTATTATAAGACACTAATATAAATATTTTTGGCATTTTTCTTTTAATTTGTACTATATTTTCATATAATAATTAATATTCAAATATCAACACTCAAAAAGTAAATAAAACATTTAAAGCCGTACCAAAATAGTATAATATTTTATACGCAACAATTATGCATTTTTATGAATAACGATAAGACTATAGTTAAAAAAGTTTCAAAACAAAACCAAACAAAAATAATATAGGATATAATAAAAATTCAATTATTCAATACAAAATATTTTTTTTATATTATTGACACAATTATTCATACCTAATATAAAAACAAAAAAAACAAATTCACTCAATAAATACCTCAAAGTGAACACATCCTTTGATTATAATTATTTATGGATACTTATATAAAGATGTGTGTGTGTGTTTTTTTTTTTTTTAATTTCAAATAAAAAAATTTATTATTCAATCATTCTTAATCCAACTCTAAATTTTCTCTTAAAAAAATAATTATATTATATATATATTATTATAATATTAAATTAAACCTTTTTTATAATAAAAACATCAAACTGAACAATTATTTTAATTTTTTTTCACTAATTTATAGAATACTTGAAAATATCATAACACAGCCAAGCAGGCATGAAAAATTTATTTCGATTTATTATTTTTATTATTTTTATTATTATTATTATTATTATTATTATTATTATTATTATTATTATTATTATTATATTCAATATAAAAATAAATTATAAACCACGTTGAATTGATGTAAACATAGTGCTTGCCACTATTGTATTCCCTAAGTTACAACTACAACATATCTTAATATTTTTAATTTAATTAATTGGAGGTTAGGAGAATCAAATGCAAATTATTTTCAATAATATATTTTTTAATTACGACCATACTTATGTTTATTAGTACCGAATTTTAGTTAGATTTTTAGTTCGGATTATCTTATTTAGAGCTGGCAATGAGTCGATTCGTGTCGGGTTGAATACTTTAAACGGGTTAAATTACTCAACCCTAATCCGATCCGTTTATTATCGTGTCGGATTCAGGTTGACCCGTTTATTATTGTGTCGGGTTCGGGTTGACTCGTGTTGACCCGTATACATAATTAAGTCGAATTTCTTGATTCAAATTAAATAATTTTTTGTTGTGTTGTCGTGTTATGTTAGTTTTTATTGGTTTGAGCGTAAATTATTTTGAATTGTTTAAAATTGAACTTAGTTTAAATTAATTTATGAAAAAATTATTAAATTATGATTATTTTACATATATAATGAATATATTAATTAATATTAATATATTATAATCGGATTGTCGTGTCGGGTTCGAGCTGAGAGCCTCAACCCTAACCCGACTCGTTTACTATCGTGTCAGGTTCATGTCAACCCGTATACATAATCGAGTTGAAATTTTTGACCAAAACTCATTTATTTCTTGTCGGGTTGTCGTGCCGGGTCAGTTTTTGTCGGCTCTAATCTTATTTTAGAAAATGATTTTTATTTTTATTATACAAGGTGTGTTTATTTAGTATTTAAATTTGAGATATTTTTATATGAAACATAAAAAATTGTGTCTACCATATCAAAATAATATTTCCTCCGTCCGGCTCTAAAAAGTCATTTACCTTTTGTGTGTTGATCTTTGAATATTAATTATTATATCGAAATGTAATACAAATTAAAAAAAAAATTATAAAAGTACTTTCATTAGTATCTTATAATATTAATAGAAGGATATTTATACAAATATAATAATATTTTTAATATTAAGTATAATTACGCAAAAAGTAAACGTGAGTCTTAGAGGCGGAAAAGAATATTTTATATTATTGGTTGACTTTTTGTAAGAGATGAATATATATTATTTATATTATGCGAATGTGTATGTATATAGATATTATTAATATTTACCGGGAATTGTATCAGAATTATATATTAAACGAACAAAACCACAATTATTACGATTTCTAATAAAAATATATTATTTTATTTCACAAAACATTATATCCAAAATATTTATATTTATCCCAATATGGGCCGAAAATAAATGTTTGCTACTTGTGTTGTTTTTTGTTTGTTTTTGTGTTTTTGTTTTAGTTTTGAAATAAAATAATTATTAAATTAATATTTTGTAAAAGAAAAAATAATACTCCTGTTGAATGCAATATTTTTAAATAATTTTGAGATATTAAATAATGATAAAAAAAAAAATTATCAAGAGCTTGAGGTTTGTTTTTTTAGGGTTTAGTTTTTGATTTGAATTTTTTGTTGACATGAGGCATAAATAATTGTTGGTAATATAGAAAAACAATATTACTATTTTATATTGAATATTAATTTTTGTGAAATGTCATGATATGTATATATATATATATATTGAGAATTGCGTTTGAAAAAAATACTAACAAACCCTTGTTTGTTTTGGATTTGATTTTAGATTTTAATTTAAATGTAATATTTTGGTAGATAAAATAGTATAGTTTTGTAGGCATTATTAGAGCTTCAACGGTAAATAAAATGAAATCAAGATTCCAGATAAATAGAGCCCAAGTGAAGAAAAATTAAAAAATATGATCAAAACATAAGCTTCCATAAGTTTTAAAATTGATTTAAAATAAGTTGTTGATTTGAATTTGTTTAATAAACAATATTTTGATGTGAATTTTTGTGAGAAAAAATAGTACTTCCTCCGTCTGGTTCTAAAAGTCTCATTTATTTTTTGCGTGTTGATATTTGAATATTAATTATTACATCAAAACGTAAAAAATTACAAAAATACTTTCATTACTGTCTTATAATACTAATAAAATAATATTTTTACAAAATATATATATACAAATATATATATACAAATATAAATATAAAAATATTTGTGACCTTAGAGACCAACAAAGGAAATATTATATTTTTATTGAAAACTGTACGTAACAAATGATATTGATTTTAAGTTGAAATGATAAATAAAATAAAATAAAAAACAAACCCCTAATATTTAACATGAAAATCCCAACCATGTTTTTTCACTTAATTTTATAAAAATAAATTGATCTCTCAAGCATTGTTTAGTTACTTATTATCATATTCGATATAAACTAATGGGCACTATAGGCTAATCACCAAATTATTTCAAACATATTCTAATATAACTCAACTCTTCTTTCAAAATAACAATCAACATATATTTGAGTTTTATTTCAATTCAGATTGTTGCTTGATTATGAGATTGGATTTTGCATTTAGTTACAAGTTTGATAGCACAAATTTTTAATTTTCGATAGGATATGATATTTTAAATTTATTTTTATTTTTATTATAATTATAAAAAATATATATATATAAGTAAAAATCCCAACCAAAGCTATTAGACTCTTTTTTTTTTTTAAGATTTGGTTTACAAACATTTAATTTAAAATTTATATTTAAATAACATTTTGAAAAACGCAAATTTAAAATAGTAAAATTTGATAAAATTATGTTAAAGAAACCGAGCCTGCACATATCTGATAATGGGTAACTAAACAATTGCTTGAGAGAATTTTATTTTTAACAAAACTTTTTTTGGCATGCCACTATTGCAAAAATGCATATTTACTATACACATGTCGGCGCATATGTTGATTATGTAGATGACTATATGCATATTGAAGCAAACACTAAAGATACGTTTGATAATTTGTAATATCTGTGTTTAATACTCCCTCCGCCCCAGATACCACGTCCATGTTGCCGTTTCTGTCTGTTCCACGTATCATGTCACTTTCTTTTTTTTAAAAAAAAATAATTACACACTTTAATCTTATTTTAAACTTTTTAATTTTATTTTTTTAAAATTTTTAATTAAACTAATTAGTTATCTTAATCTTAATTTATAATTATTTCCTAAAATAAATACAGTGTCTACCGTGCAGCAGACACGGTACGTGGGAAGGAGGTAGTATTTGAGAAGCATAAATGCAACAAATATACAAGAAATATTATTTGTTCCGAGGTATTTGATTCTTCAAAATACTACTAACTATCATTGATTATAAACATTGGAAGTGAAAAAATTGTATCAACTATTTCGAAAAATCAATTTTCACGTAGTGATCATGATAAACAGAACCTCGTCAAAACCTTAAACAAACATACCCATTGGCATCAACAAACTTTCTATGCAAACACAAAACAAACGTTTAGAAATCGACTTATTTTCTGATCGAAATCAGACTACATTCTCTAAGCCATCCCTTAGAAAAGTAGTAATTATTCAACCTTATTCGTTTATCATAACCGAGCAAAATTGCACCAGCCCTTACATCGTTTTAAATTATCATTACCGTACCAAAAAAAGAAAAACCCAAAAGAAGCTCAAGGGAAGTCGATTTAAATTACACACCTTAGAGAAGTTGGGCGCGCGAGAAGGCGAGCTTGACTACACTTGGACAAATTTGTTTAAGGCGGATGTGTCGAGAGCAGTAAACTCTTTGACGGCAGAAAGAACGGCCAGGCCGAGCTTTATAGCATCTTCGTGGGTTGGTGCCTGCAGAGATTGTAGATACAATCAGTATGCTTATATATAGAAGTGTACGTAGAGCAGTACGTGGATGGAATTGTAGTCGGGACCTCGATGTTGAGGGGCATAACAGGGTCGTGAAGCGAGAGCCTTAAAAGGAACCATCCACCATAGCCGGACACCCTTATCTGTTAATGGAAGAGACATTAGCCACAGTTGGTATATATATTACTTTGTACATAACAATTATGGTAAGAACCTCTGCAACAAATGTGCATGACAACTATCAAAAGCATAATCACAAAATAATCGGCATGGTAGAAGTCGAAAAGGCTATCGCTCGAGGATTACACCGGAGTATATGAATGGTTCTATAGACAAGCCAAATTCGGTAACTCTGATAATTGAAGGAAGTATTAGCAAATATTACTGTATTACCTCTACTTGTAACAAATAATAACAATTTTACCACTACTTTTTCTATTTACTCAAGTATTTTTTTTTTAATCAAACTCCTTAATAAATTTTATATAATACAGTCATTTTATTTTTTTTACCTAGTCCCATTTTAACATTAAAATACTACTATTTTTTAGTCTTTATGCTGCTCAAGCAAACCCACTTAAATTTTTCGGATGGAGAGAATAATAAAAAAGAATACTCATGTTTCAGCTAAAAGAATATCATTAAAAAAAGAGTGTTCGAAAATTCTCACTCACTTCGCCATGAAGGGTGAAATATTCCTCAGTGAAGCTTTGAATAACCATAATCAAATATTTGGACTTTTAAGGGACTTCACACTACGGAAGTGGCGTAAACATGTCAACAAATAGTACATAATGATAATCCCATCACGTCCACATAGCAAAAGCAAGTAATATTAAACTGAGGATAAGAGTTTCAAGATTAAAATAGAAACAGATTGAACTTACCCCTTCATAATTCACGGGGGCTTTCTGAAGTTTTGGATCGGCGTCAACACAGTTTGCCAAATTCTGTATCACAGCTTCTCCGTATTCACGGAAAGATCTAAATACAGCAAAGAAACTTGTGTTAAGTGACTGGTAAAAAGGCAGGCTGTTGATGAGTACAATTATTGAGAAGCTTACCCTCCTTTAAGATCGGCATGATTTTGATCAATTTTAAGTCTTAGTTCAACAGAAACAGTAGCTTCCTCCAGACCATCGATCAAATCTGTCAAAACCTTGCTGCCTCCACTGATTCCAGATGCCTTAGCTGCCGCGATTTTGTTTAAAAGCTTCACCTAACAGTTGATGATAAGCATACAATGAAATTAATATAAAGAAAAGAGTAGAGCACTCGAAAGAGACTATAAAATTCCTATTTCCGTCAATAAAGCAAAAGAACAAAGCGAAACTTATAGAATTTAAGCTCAATGTTTGAAAACAACCAAAAAAATAAAAATAAATTCCTACCATCAGATATGCACCATCATCAAGCCAATTATTCTCCTTGAGAGCTCCGTGGCCACTAGTTTCAATAGCTAAATGTGTTTCCTCTCCAACGGAATTCTACAAAAATTCAGCAATGTTGTCCTTTAGCATATCATGTAAGAACAATCAAAAGTCACAATCAGACACAACAAAATTCCTAACTAGCTTGGAGCTATTACAATGCAGAATTGAAGAGAACAGCAACAATCATGTAACATATTGAAGGAAAAGCTGAAGAAAATGTTTTGAAACAATAATTGACCCTGAAAGGTCACAATTATTTTATGCACCATTGTAAACCTGGGAAGCTAACTATGAAAATAACAATCTTGATAAGTTCTATCACGAACAATTAGATTATAAAATGGCCATTACCAATCGAATGGCTTCATCAATCACATTCTTGTAGCCTCTTTTAAATCTATGGTGTTTTCCACCTGCAAGATTAATAGTATGAGACTGCAAGCTGTCACAATGCATATTCAGTTAGTAGCAGCTTGTCTCACTTACCCAGCTTCTTTTCAATAAATGTTGTCAATCCATCAGAAGTCACACTATCTGTGACTATGGTAGTCCCGGGATGCTGGTTGAATGATAGAAAAGGAAAATTATTTCAATTTCTGGAAAAACTATATGTTTCAGCAACAAATGAACACTGACAGCATACCTCCTCTAAAACAATCGCAGATATGAGGGCTATCAATCGGTTCCTGTTTAATTCACGGCCACTGGAGTCCACAGCAGCAGATCTGAAACACAACACCAATATTTTATATTAAAATCTCAAGTCTTGAATGTCCGAGAAATTGGAAATGGCAGTAGACCATCACCTATCAACATCAGTATCAAAGATAATCCCCAAATCTGCTTTATTGTCAAGTACTGCCTGAGTTATAGCTTTCATTGCTTCCTTATCTTCGGGGTTTGGAATGTGATTGGGAAAAAGCCCTAGACAAACAAAATTGTTCAGTCAGATTTAAAAAACTAAAATAAAATAATATTTATTTGTTCGGGTTTAGTTTTACCATCTGGCTCTAGAAACTGACTTCCAGAAGTAACAGCTCCCAAAGGCTCTAGCACTTTTGCCTAATAGCACATTAACAAAAATCAACTATTAGCCTTTTCAACTCCAATATGAAACCACATCATGAAAGAGCATGGACATCTTTTTATCTTTTATATTTTAGGAAAGATAATTAATTACAAAGGACTTTAAAACAAAAGGCATATGAAGTATCAATCCCATAGTTCGAACACAATCCACTATCCTAAATTCTTATATAATTGCACGCTCCTCAATCCTTCAATTTAGCATAGATAACGGGTTTGTTTGGTTTTTGTTTGAGATTGGGGTTTTAATTTGAGTTCTGGTTCAAATATAATTTTGATGTGATTGTTTTATAAGAGAAAATAATATATAATATATTTTTATTGGGAAAGACTGAATAGTGGCTGTTTGGGTTTGAAACCCATACCAAACACACACGTTATGCTTCAGTAGAAAGGATAAAGTGAAGGGAAAATATAGTAATCCAAACTTACAGCAAAGAATCCTCCAGCTCCATTTCCAGCATCAACTACTATATGGAATCCCTCCAGTGGCTTGTCTGGAATCCAGAAAACTCTTTAGCATATGTATCCATTCATGGTAAAGAAATGACTATCAAGAGAAAACGGATATGAACATGCAACAGGAACTGCATGCTTGAAGATCAAAATGAGTATTCATATTTTGACTCAAAATATTAAAGGAACATTAAATTGATAACAATTATAGACTCAGGATTTTTTTTATAAGCTAGGAGCTCCATGCTGTACTTTAATAGAGTTGAAATTCAACAATCTCATTAGTAATTTTGTGGCAAAACAGTTATCAAACGAACATGCCAGCTAAGATTTACCTAAGTTCCCTGCAGCTTTCCGGACAGCTGCTACCAGATCAGATGTGTATACGGACATGTAATCCACTCTTTTCACAGATTGTGCTGCTCGTTTTTCGTTATCATTCAGACCTTCAGCTGTGAAAGTTTTGTATATATCAGCAGCTCGCTCCAATATGTCTTTGATGTCCACTTTTCCAAGTCCACCACTGTTAGTAAAGAACTTGAATCCATTTCGATTGTAAGGGAGATGACTAGCTGTTTGCGGAGAAGATAGAAGTAACAAAGAACATCAAGTACACAGAAAAAGGAATCAAGCATTGAAAGCACATATTAGTCTCAACCAATTAGAGATACTACTAGAATTGATCGGATGAAGAAGACAATTACCCGATAACGTAATCTATAAAAGAGTGCAAACCTGTTATCATTATAGAGCCATCAACTGGACAATAAATGCCTTCATCTTTTGTTAGAGTGCTGTTGAACATTGCTGGTGTGGAGGCCAATCTGCAAGGAAAGGCAGCATTAGTAAATGAAACAAAAGATATATATATATATATATATGTACAGAAACTATAGCACTTCTATGGAATCATCTGAATGGTTAAGAACTTCATCCATAGAGAAAATCATTCCATTCTGTTATATCAACCTTGACTAGCAAAATTTCCATGGTGAAACATGGCTGAAGTTATATTCATCTTTTATGATGTTTCAAAAATATTTATTTCCTTTTTTTTGGGAAGATATATTTTGACTGAGATGGTAGTGATCACAACTTGGCAGTATCCCGCCTAAGTGGAAAATATAATCAGAAACCTTTTAAATCTGAAACAAATTTACAAGTTCAAAGTTTCCACTCACCCATACTGAATAACATCAACGCCAGCACCAGCTAGACCTCGAGATACGGCATCCTGGAATTTTAAAATCTAATCTTAGTCCCCAATTAGATTAAAAGGCATACCATTGAACTACAAAGCATTTCAGTCATTGACATCCTGCCCTCAAGGTCCTCATAAACAGTACATAGGTTAAGTGTCAGGAAATCAAACTTGACACAACTGAAAATCACATAAGATCCTGAAATGCATCATAAACATTAAGAACTCATAAAACAGTAAAGTAAGACCCATAATTAGAAGAAGATTTGAGCACAGGTCAAGGATTCGATACCTCAAATTCAAAGAAAGGACAAAATTGCTTTAAATATATATATATATATATCAGAATATGCCACTGCCTCATTTTCCAAATAGGTTCAGATGGTATGGAGCAAATGCAGAGACCCCAGTGCAGGCTGTGTCACTGCTGGAGGAGACAGCCTCCTGTTGATCTGGATCTATACCTGGCAGACCAATATCCAGATATAGGAAATAGTAAAGATTACAAAGGATATGGATACAATCCTAGCCAAGCAAGTCCAAAATAATGCCAAGATTGATGGACTTGCTTGGCTTGCCCGCCAGGTATAGACCCAAATCGAAAACCAGGCCAGCTTCTTTGGCAGCAGCACAGCTTTCTTCTCTCTGTTTGCTCCATATTATACGCCCAACAATATTGTAAATGCAAACCAAATTTTGATTTGTTCACTAACTGGAGGATTTTTTGCCGCAGGAATGTAGTCAATCTCCAGACTATTTTAGGAAGGCTTTCTTCTTGTCGATCACTTAGGGTGTGCTTGTTTGGGGGTTTAGATTTTGAGTTGGGATTTGAATAATTAAAATTTTAAATTGGAATAGTTGTATGATGTGATACAAATAGGTCTTGATGTAATGTTTTGAATGTAAAATTTATTTTTAATATAATATAAAAAATAAAAAATAAGTATTTGATATGATCCCTAAACCTGAATAGTAGAAGTCCAGTAAAATATGACAAACGAACGCACATCACCCACACATTATTATCTGCTCAAGCCTAAAAACGACATCTCCCACCCTTTAAAATCAAAGAATAATTAAAATGTGTAAAAATAAGTAATTAACAGATGTAATGAACATTAAGCTGATGGCAATGTGTTCTTCACATCTTCAATATAGTTCACCAATGCAACCTTACCTGTAACTTCTGTGCAGATATTCGTGAATCATGGCCAATTGAAACTTTCAATGGCTTAGATGCATCAGCCTTTTTTCTATCCTGCAGCCATGCAGCAAAAGCAGCTGCAATTGCTTCTGTAATTGGTTCGGTGAGGGTAACTGGTTCATTTGCAACACCATCAACAGCAACCCCTCGAATATCACTGTTCCAAAAAGATGAAAATTATTTTTCTCAGAAAGGCGTTTGATGGGGTATAATTCAATTACATAAAACCTAAAATAAGGTACGCTTGGAATTGAGTCAATAACAAATCAAAATTATTAGCTTCATCCAGAAAAATATATGAGAATGAAAATGTCTATAAAACTATAAATCATAGTGCAAAATAATTTAGAAACCAGGGCATTTTATGCAAATAACATATCTAGTTCCATGCAAATAACATATCTAGAGTAGTAGTCCAGTAGGTGAACATATAATATGATTTCAAATGAGATTTACGAACAGATGCAAACTGGAAACAGATAAGTGGCTGCATAGCACTTATGAGATCTTGTAAAACATGCTTTGACTAAGAATGGAATCAATACAGAAACTAGCTAACAAACCAGAAGATACTCAAATCTCATGAAGAAAAACAGAAGAAGAAAAATAAAAAGTACTTTGCAAAATCAATTGTGCTTAAAAGTAGAGACTTTAAGGAGCACAAGATAACAGAGACAGCAAAAGAATGGATAGATTAACTTGATGATTTTTTTTTCCGCACCAACATACTGCCTTTAATGCTGTAAAAAGAATGAGAACCAATTATTTGTGATATCTTCAATGATTCAACACATTTTTTCCATGTTTAATTGATTTGAATTATGATGCATGGAAAAATTAACATCTTGACAGAAGCATCAAGTTATAAATTGTAAAAATGTTCATAGTCTCGACCTGCCATTTTGAAGCTTAAGGAAAGCCCCTTTGTCAACAGAGGGTATTACAGCAACTGATGGAGCAGCTGCAAGATGACAAAAGATGAGTCTATGAACACTTGTACTAGTGGCGACACAGATTAAATAATCATTTTTTTTAAAATAGAAAGAAAAATAAAAAAATTATAAAAGATGTAACCAAATACAAAACTTGAAAATAAGTACAGATAAACAACCAAATGGTTTGGTCATTGAAGCATTCTACAGGTTAGGTTTAGACACGGACAGTCTGAAACAGAATATCGACCTGAAATAATAGAGTCTAGAACAGACCATTGCAGTATACAATTCCTCGGTTAAATTTTGAGAACATTTGAGGGGTAGAGATGTGTGTCCCTGCCAACCTCCCTCTTATGTGGGTAAGTAAGTTGCGCCTACAAGGGGTACAAAAGCCCTTTTGATATTGGGTGCTTAACTGCCTATCCTGCTGGCAGCAATGTGCTACCAGAACATGTTGGACAACCTTCCCTGATAATGCTGCATGAGAATTGAAAATTTGCACCATGATTAGGCTGTTTACTGGTGGTATGATCTTAACCAAATATCAGACTCTCCATTTCCTTGACAAAAAGAATTCCATTAAGTTGTAAAAGGCTGAAGGTAGTTTCATAATGCCACCACTATTAGTATGGACTCCCAACACAATTCCAAATCTTTCTTCCTCCAAGAGAAAGGAATATGATTTTATTTTTTTTAATAATCTGAACTTCCCTGGGGTGTGGTTGGTATAACAAAAAAGAAGTAGAAATGAAAGAACCAATTATAATCTCATTTTTAAACACATATAGGGTATGGTTTAGGGAATGCTTATTGAATGAAACATGGGCATTTCTGTAAAGAATGGGATAGGTTACTCATTTCAACACCAGGAATTAAGCTAATTCCTAACTTATGAGGTATAACATTGTTATTGTACCCCTTTCAAAGTAAATTGAATAGACTTAGTAAATGATATAGTTTAACTATTTAATCTGAAGCTCACCAAGCAAAATCATAAGAAAGTATTATATTGGTTTTTTATATCATATAAATGGTTTCTTGAACTTCTTACACACAATAAAGTATAGCTTATTTGTGTCATTTTTCTTAGGAAAAGCTATATAATTATTTATTATTATTAATATTATTTCATAGGAAAAATGATTTCAGTACATGCCTATCTAATTTTCTAGGTACCAATATCTTTATAAACTTTAGTGAAAAGATACATGCTGAGCAAGGGATTACTTCTAGTTATCTTTTACATTTCCCCTTTTTATTCCATTAACATCTCATACCATTCTTGAATGCCAAACATATCGTTGGACAGGATAGTCAAGCTCCTGGTTTCATTTATCCTATTCAATTGAGCATAGCAATTTATAGGCAGATGTAATCTAAACAATTACAACCAGTTGAAGAATTTTGAGTTGCACATGAAGCTATACTCTGACATACTACCAATTTACCCTCTGGATTACGTGATCAACAATTATCTATTGTCTGTGAGCTTTTCTTCTTATTCTTATTCTTATTCTTTTCTATTTTATTTTATTCAATGTCTTTAGTATGCAACCTCATAAGTCTCTATAAAAATATAGCATTTTCTATACAAAATATCATATCCAGCAACTATTTTATCCAAAACCAAAACACAGACACAAACCCAAAAAGAACAAAGCCACACACACAATTAGTAGTAAGTTCATAAAATTAGGAAATAAAACAGAAGTTACAAGGTGTCCCTGTCTGCAAACTCCCAAACTAAAAAACCGCACACAAGCGCCAAACAAACAAACTTATAATTAAGCGTTACAATTTTTTAATGCATATCTCATGTGATTTACATACATTTGAAATCTCCACATGAAACCATCATCTTTAATTTACAGAAATCTAAAATAAAGAAAGACTATTGGATTATAAAAAATCAAATCAAATTTATTAACATGTTTTGTTGTGAACTTTAGCAACCCATGAAAAGTTCTCCTTTAGAAGTAACAGTTTTCCCTAGAGGAACAACCATTAGTAGATATAAATATGTATATACATATATATAACCTAGTAAAAGACCTACACCATCCTTTCCAAACCCATAGTCCCAAAGGCACTATATTCAATTATAGCTTTGGCATACAAGTTAAAGAATTGCCTTTTCCGATTGAGCATTGATCAAACTCCGAATTTTAAAAAATACACCAAATTTAGCTCAAGAAAGGACTTACCAACATCAAAAGATTATTAGCACATACAATTAATTATACAAAGTCAAACAGTTCATTCTCTTCTTTAATTTCTAACTCATTCACTACTCTCCATCACATCAAATCTGAAACGAAACCATCATCAAATCTAAAAAGCATCACAATCCGATTAACTAACCCAATCAAAACCATGAATTGACTTCCTGATAATCTAAACATCCGCGAATTAAAGATTCTTACACTCGAATCCCTCACATAGTAATTACTAACTATAAAATAGCACTAATGGCACACAAAACATTGACAGAGCAAAGTGAATACCGAGAAATCAAAAAATTACCTGCCATTTCCGAAGAGCAGAAGAGAAGCGGAGACAGAGAGGTGTAGGGCGTGGGCGACGAATACTATGGCAGCTGTGCCTGTGTTGTTAGGTGGCAACGCCACGCCGAAGAAAACGACGAGTAACTTCTAAATCGTTCTGTTCCTAAAACACGATTTACAAACAAAAGGTTTTGGAACGGTAGGTGGAGAGAAAAAAAATAAATAATAAAATAATAAAAATATAATTGAAATATAATTTTGACGATATAGAAAATATTTTTTAATATGATTATTCCGACCAAACCTTAAATAATTTTTTTTGTTTATTTAAACAAGATAAATCAAAATTGAAAAATAATTTTTTTTTTAGTTCAGTTAATAACTTTTAGGAAAAAAATCAATTTTGTTTCTAATATAACCAAAATTCATTAATTTTGGTCTAAATATGAAAACATTTATCAATTTTGGTCTCACCGTTAAAAAAGAACTAACGGAAATAACTGACGTTGACATAACATAGTGATGTGGCCGCTGACCTGGAAACTATACGACCATGTACAATTATACACGGTCATATATATTTCAGTGTATAATTATATATGACGTGTTGTTACACGATCATGTATAATTTTACACTGCCGTATACATTTCTGTTTTAGTCTAAAATTTTATTTTTTGGTTATATTTTTTTTAAAATAGTTATATAGTTAAAATGTTGAAAGATTTTGTCTAAAATTCTATTATTCATTAAAAAAATGTTTCTTGTAAACATCCAATTACACAACTATTTTTTATTTATATATTATAGTAGTATTAAAAATAATTTATTATTTCAATACAATAATTGGATGTTTGTAAGAAAATTTTTTTTGTAAATAGGAGAATTTTAGACAAAATCTTCCAAAAAAAAATACTCAGATATATGTATATATATTTAAAATAAAATTGATATATTTTAATTATATTATTATTATTATTTTTTCATTTTAACTATATCAACTATTATTAATTCAAAATATTTTTTTAAAAAATATATATATAAAAAAATAAAATTTTAAATCAAAACAGAAATGTATATGGCCGTGTAGAATTATATAGTTTTCAGGTCAGTTGTCACATCACTTCCGTATGTCCACGCCAGCAATTTTCGTTAATTTTTTAACGGTTGGACCAAAATTGATAGAAATTGTTTTAATGGGACCAAAATTGATTGAAATTGTTTATAATTGGACCAGAATTGATTAAAATTGTTTATAATTGGACTAAAATTGATTAATTGTTTATATTATGACCAAAATTGATAAATTTTGGTTATATTGAGACCAAAATTAATTTTTTCTCTAATTTTTATTTATTTTGTTACTATTTAACTTTCATAACTATTTTTATAAAAATACATCTTTTATTTGTCATTTAAGAATATTCAAATTAAAATTTCTCATTTTTTCTTTAAAAAAAAAGTCAACTAAATATCAAAATATTTATATTTTTTACTTTGCATATTAACCGACATTATATTATTTTATTACAATTACATATTTATAAAATGCTAATTTAATTTAATATGTGTACAAAAGGTAAATAAAAAATTTATACAAAACTATCCTAGACCGGACCATGGATCGGATTGTACTTACCTTGATTTTCAATTAGTTTCAAACAGAATTGGGCTATGAAAAATAAAAATAAATAAATAAAAAATAAAAAAAATAAAAATAAAATTGGGCTATGTCACAAATTTTATATTAAAACAGAAAAATTATTGTTGCTCGAAATAAATAAAAGATAATATCGTTGTTGAAATGATCCGGCCCATTAGGCCCATTACTTAGAGTTAGTTTCAATAGATACTTGTTATGTTAGATGCACATTTTTAGATCATTTTTCATTATACCTTTTTTTTATTTAACAAAAAAATCACATAGTATATTATATAATTGAGTTTTAATTTGAAATATTATATTAAAATTTTATTTTAATACATTCTTTTTACAACTTACTAAAGTATTAAAACCTCTCAAAACACATCCATACTTTCTATCATATATTTTACATGATCTAATTTAAGATAAGATTTTTTATTATTTGAATAAATAAAAAAAATTATACTCCTTCCGTCCGGTATTTAATATTAAAAATATTTTTATATTTGTATAATTTTTTGCAAATATTACTAATAGCATTATAAGATATTTTTGTCATTTTTTTAAATTTTGTACTATTTTTCATATAATAATTAATATTCAAAAATAAAAAATCAACACGTCAAAAAGTGAATGAAACCCTTCGACCGAAAGTAGTATTTAACTCATATCGAGTGTGTATTGATTATAAAATTAAAAATATATATTTACATTTGGAGTATCGTAAAAAAATAGTAAAAAAAAAAACTAGAAATTTAAATGTGTAATAATATGTTCTTAAAATATCTACAAATTTAAATAACAAACCCCAATTATGAAATAACTTATATAATAATAATAATATAACATTATCCACATCTTCTCCAACAAAATCACACAATTAACAAAATATTTGTCCCCACCCACCCTACCCTACCCTACGTTTACCCCCCAAAATACTACAAATCCCTTTACATAGGTCTCACTTATTACCACTATTATTCTTCACATAATTCAAACACCAAACCAAAATAAATACATACATATATATATAATAATAATCAAGAAAATTTTCAGGACAAAATAACTAACCACAAAGGTCATCATCATCCCATCCATACCTCCTCCGCCGTCGCCGTCGCACTACCTCGGCCTCGGCTGCCTGCCGCCGCCGAACGACCACCCCGGCTGGAGAAGCCTCTGGACATCCGGGCCCCCGCCAATCAACGACGCCTGAGAGCGCGAAACCATTTCGACCATCGACGGCGTTTGGTACGACTGGACGAGGCTCGACCCGTCCGTCGAGTCGCCGCGCGCCGTCGCCCGCTGCCACGAGTGCGAGCTCAGACCCGACAGAATGTACGCCCGCCCCGACGCCTCGTACACGTGTCGGCTCGCCATTCGCTCCTGCATCTCCTTCAGCTCAGCGTCGAGGGCGACGCAAAGCTGATCGTTCGATTTCGCCGATGCAGTTTCCGATAACCGTTTCCGCATCTTCTCGAGGATTTCGACCGCCGCCGAAAGGCTTCCGTTTTCGGCTGCGGATTGCGCTTGCACCATCGCCTCCGCCGCTCGGACTCGATTCCGTTGCCTGTCGACTTCAATAGAAACGTCCCCTCGGGCGTCCCCGTCGGTTCTCGCAATCCGGACATGCTCGTATTCGGAGGTTGCCGACTCTTTCGATATAGGGTTGTTGTAGACACACTTCACTTTCAATATCGGCGTATCGACGCTTTTTGATGTTTCGATCGGGATGTTCGTCACAATCAAGAAGTCCCTCTCCTCGTCGGCGTAAAGATCGCCAACGTTGATGCATCCCGACCGTCGATCGGGCGTTACGTGGCTCGGATAACTCCCCACCTTCATCGAGTCGAGCCTCGTCGTAGGATGATCGCATTCGATCTCGACCCGTAAATCCTTAACGACGACGCTCAAAAGCCCGCCAATGCACTGGGCGAAGGCATCTTGTATCACTCCTTCGGTTTCGATGAACGAAAACGTCCCTCCCGAAATCTCCGATATCGAATGCATCGACAACGCGTCATGATCCGCGCCGAATCCGAACGCGTGGACGGGAATCTTGAACCCGGAGGAAGCATCAGGGCGAAGCGATAACGGTAGAAGCATCTGATAATCCGGCTGGTTCCGATTACCGTTGAAATTACTTACGGTGTATGTATCTTGACCGTCGGATAACAAGATCACGCTCGAAACGGGATTCTTCTCCCGTCGCTCCTCCATGATCTTCGCGCCCTTTCTCAACCCTTCGGCGATGTTCGTTCCGCCGTTGGCGACCAACGAATTAACGGCATGGAGCGCTAGCTGTCGCCCGGCTTCAGACATTTTCCGGAGATGAAACAGTCGGCGGGCCGTCGAAGAGAATGCGATCACCGACAACCGATCGTTCGGGCCGAGATTTTGTATCACGAACCCCATCGCTCGTTTCAGCAACGCAAGCTTCGTGCCGGCCATGCTTCCGCTGATATCAAGAACCGTAACAAGATCGACGGGAGCCCGCGACGTATGACTTCCCATCGCCAAATTCGAATCATTCCTGCCAGAATTCGACACAGGAGCCTTTATATGAACCAAGACAGTAAAATTATCAACCTGCGACGACCTCGGAACAGACGAGACCTCCGTATACGTATTGACGTCGACCTTTGCCGAATGGTCGTGATCTACAAGCTTCGTGTCGGAAGAACTCGTTGTCTCGGCAGGATCGGGTTTGTGATCCAACGGATCATCGTCGTTGTAGATTGCTGGCTCGGTTGCCTGATTCAGCAGAGTGGTCTGTCGGGCAGAATTTGAGCGCGGCGGCGGCAATCGATGCGCAACGGGAAATGGATCATTGTTAATCTGAGGCCAATCGACGGGGCTTATTCTTGCTCGTCCTAGAGGAGGATCGGGACGAGTAGCCGGGACTTCTTTCCACTGTGCACGGCAAACCGGGCAGACGCGGCTGCCGTGCTCGACGTTAGCGGCGATACAATGGAAATGGAAAGTGTGGCAGCACTCTGCAGTGAATATTGCCTGACCGTCGCCTCGCCGGATCGATCCCAAGCATATCGAACATGTTTTCTGTATCGAAAAAATGTTGAAAACTAGTGAGATGCGTATTCACATATGAAGTGTAATTAGGTCACAAAGTTTCATGGATAAACAGCATATTAGCATAAGATTGAATCCAGTTTGCTGTTGAAACAAATCCAATCCTGATTCATGAATCTCTCTCGAAGCTTTTGAATCACAGATTGGAAGATTTTTGTTCGAAATTAATGAGCTGAGCACTCGATTTTCAGAGATAATTCAGCACAGATTTGAAGATTTTCGTTGGAAACCGATGAGCAGAGCACTCAGTTTTTAGAGAGAATTCATAGCACAAATTTGAAGATTTTCGTTGGAAATCGATGAGCAGAGCACTCAGCTTTCAGAGATAATTCACAGCACAAATTCGAAGATTCTCGTTTCAAATCGATGAGCAGAGAGCACTCAATTTTCGGAGACAATTCACAGCACAAATTCGAAGATTTTCGTTCGAAATCCATGAGCAGAACACTCAATTTTCAGAGATAATTCAGTAACACAGGAACAAACATCAGATATGCTCAAATTTATCCACCGCAGAAATCGAAGATCGGAACAGAGATCCATAGTCAAATCCCAACATAAGCAAACAAATCCAAAAAAAGAACAGAACAGTTGAGGAATCAGGAAAGGAAGCAGAAATCGACCTTGGAAGAAGATCTACTCAAGCTTTTGGAAAGCCTGAGGCGATTCGAAGCCGGAGTGGACGGAGCCGAGGTCCAATCGCCGGGAGGCGACAGCAGGGCGGCGTCGGAGCGGCGTCCGGAGGGCGGCGGCGTGTCGGCGTCGTCGTCGGCGTCATCAGCAACGGCATGATTCCGCGGCGTATATACGCAGAGGTTTAACCCTAAGGCGACTTTCACCTTCCGCCATTTACTCCCCATTTCTTAAGGAAGCTCAGAAACACGCTTTTTCTTTTTTTTCCCCCTTTTTAAAACGCTTTCTTCTGCAGGCCAAAAATCACCTCCGAGAACGACGAAAATGGCGGAATCCTGAAGAAAAGATAAAAAATGAAATCTGCAGCGAAGAAGAAGAAGGGGGAGAGTAGAGAGAGGAATTTAGAATGAGGTGCGGGCGGGCATGGGAGAGATTGTAGAGGTTGAATGAATGAATGAATGAATGGATAGAGAGAGAGAGAGAGAGAGAGAGAGAGAGAGACAGGGACAAATGGAGAGACGTGAGCTGACCTTTGGTGTCTGTCTGCTTTTGTGTTATTGTAGCTTTTTATGGGGGGTGGGGTGGGGTAGGGGTACCTGGTGGGGGTGGGGTGTATTGATTGGGGGGCTGTTTTGACCTTTGGATCGAGCAGGTACAGCAGCTCTTGTCTGAAATCTGATTTCTAAATAAAATACTACTCCGTCGTAAAAATAAAAAAAATAAACTTATTTATTTTGGGTATGATTTCAATGTGATGGGTAGTTTTTTATTTTATATTTTTATTACTATAGATTTTGGTATAAAATAAAAATACACTACTCCTTTCGTAGTAAAATTATGGTTTGAGTACGAAATTTAAGAAATATTGACATTAGATTGATAATTGATAATTGGTAAAAAGCATGAGTAAAATATTTTTTTTGAAGTGCATTACTATAAAATGTAGTGATATTTATGTAATAATAATGAAAAAGTAATTATAATTTTACGATGAAATAAATATTTATGGAAATTAGACCGTTGTCTTCAAACGGACAAGAATAGTAAACAAAACTATTGTATTTGGACGGATGGAGTAATAGTTTTTATTTATTTTTTATTACAGATAAAAAAAAATCTACTATTTTTGTTCGGCTTTAAAGTCTTTTTAATTTTTGCGTATTAATCTTTGAGCATTAATTATTATATGAAAACATAGTACAAATTAAGGAAAAATAGAAAAAAATATTTTTATTAATATCTTATAATACTATTATAATGACATTTGTGAAAAAAAAAAATTTATACAAATATAAGGATATTTTTAATGTTAAGTACAATGACGCAAAAAGATATAAAAACAATATAGAGTGTGTTTATTTTGTTAGATAATTTAAATGAGTATTTTTCTATGTGAGATATAAAAAGAATGTACTTCATTCGTCCCAATACAATAGTCTTGTTTACCATTTTTTGTCAGTCCCAAAACAAGTCTTATTTTCATAAATAACCATATCACCAAAAAATTACCCATAATTTTTTATTTTTATTACACAATTGTCATTACTTTTTACACTAATACAGCAAAAAAATCTTTTATCCATACTTTTTACCCACTGCCAATATAATATCAATATTTCTTAAATTTCGTATCCAACTCAAAAAATTATATTTATGGGACGGAATGCGTATGTGAAATATAAAAATAATAAATTTATGTCATATATTAATAAGTTTTGAAAATATATAGGTGTATATTTTTGTTAAAAGAACAAGCCATAACTTTGAGTGTGTTTACCAAACACTCCTTCTGTTTAAGGTAAAATGATCCATTTTGTTAAGAATACTTTATTTTTTGTAGTATAATTTAATAGGTTAATTAATAATTATAATGTTATTTTATTTTTTTTATATAAATAATGTTATTATTATTTTTAAAATATAAATTAATATATATATGACTAAAACATTTTAACATAGGTATTTAAAAAAATTAAATAGTATATCTCAATAAAAAAAAATATACTCCCTCTGTTTTATTGAGAGGTTACTATTTTTTATTTTCCTCCGTCCCAAAACAAGGTTACCATTTCCTAATTTAGTAATTGTACTACCAACCTAACATAATAAATATCCTTTCAACTTACAATATATTAAACAAATGTCATTACTTTTATATTACACCATACTAATAGAGGTATTTTTGTCTTTTTTACTACAATCCAATATAATACTAGTATTCAAAAATCTACGTACAAAAAGCAACGTCACCCTTCCAACGGGACGGAGGGAGTATATATAACATGGATATCATTTTATAGATGATAAAATTTTATATAATACAAATAAATATTTATGCATAATTAATATAAATTAATTTTATAAAAAATAAAAAATGTTAAATGGGTCCAAAGGTTTGAAATTAAATAGTATAATGATCGAATTTGAATAGTTTTATAATACGATATTTTGAATATAAAAATAATATCTTTTGCATAATATAAAAATTAGAAAATAAGTGTTTAATTAGATATTCTAAATTTTTTTAATTAATAATAAAATTTAGTTAAAATCTTCCAATAGGGTGTGTTTGTTTGGGGATTGGATTTTAAATCACTATCCATCCCTTTTTTTCCTCAAAAATATCAAATGAAACACCTATTTTTTATTTTTTATATTATATTAAAAATCAATTTTACATTCAAAACAACACATCAATACCTATTTATATCACATCATACAACTATTCAAATTCAAAATTTTTACTATTCAAATTCTAACTCAAAATCTAAACCCCCAAACAAACACACCCTAATGTGTTGTTATTAATAATACTAGTAAAAAAAAATTCTCAAATTGGGTGTGTTCTGTATTTTTGGATTGACGTGTTTTTTATACTAGAGATGAAAAAACGTAATAGAAAAATAATTCTACCTCTGTCCGGCTTTAAAGATTTCATTTACTTTTTGTGCGTTGATATTTGAATATTAATTATTATATTAAAACGTAGTACAATTTAAAGAAAAAATGCAAAAATCTTTCACAAGTGTTTTATAATACCAATAGAAGAACATTTGTACAAAAAAATTATACAAATATAAAAATATTTTTAATATTAAATACAATTGCATAAAAAATGTAAATATGACCCTTAAAAACAGACGGAAAGATTTTGTTACTTTAAGTTATTATTTTTTTTAGTAGATAATATATATATATATATAATATACTACATATATTGTATTAATATATATAATTTTATTTTTATATAATATTTAAAAGAAATGTAATTTCAAAAAACATTTGTTTGTCGGAACTATTTTTTACTAGATATCATTCTCAATATATATATAACAGGAGTATATATTATATCATTTCATAAAATATCAAATTTAAATAAAAAAATTTATTTTTTATATTAAGATACAAACATAATTTTCTACATAAAAATACCTCAAATCAATTTTATTTTATTTTTTTTAGTTTTTTCTAAAAATATAACTACATATAATATATAAATTATTTTCTTTAAAATATATCTAAATTTAAATTTAAAAATAACTAACACTAAAAGTGTGTTTGCGTGGGGGTTTAGATTTTTACTAGTAAAAATTTTGAATTTCATGCGATGTAAATAGACGTTGATGCGATATTTTGAATATAAAATTAATTTTTAATATGATATTAAAAATATAAAAAATTAAGTATTTGATTTGATATTTTTTAGAAAAAAAATTTAATGAATAATAGAAATTTGAGAAATTGTTCAAATGAACACACCCTTAAGTAAACCAACCTATAAATTTCATAATATCGAACCATAATAAAAAATTGCTAAAAACAAAATAGAATTTATGTCTTTTTTTTTTTAAGCACAAAATAATTAATTTTTGGTGTTTTATTTTGACTTTCGTTTTATGTGATAGGTTTGTTGTTTTTAGACTTTCTCGAATGTCAAAACATTAATAAATATAATATTAAAATGTTGTCATAAGCATATTTTATTTAACAAAATTTTGGACGATTTCCTCTCTCATTCTTGTCAAAATTGATGGCTCTTATCAAAGCTGGTTTTTATTTGACATTTCAATTTTTATAATTAAATTATTACATATAAATTTTCTAAAAAACATGTGATATTTTTAATGAAGCAATCAATAAATTTTCCATTTAATGAAACTTTTATAATATACTCCATTGTCGTCCAATTGTGTACTCATTTAACCGGGGACGGATTTTAAGTAAAATATGTAAGAAGAGAAATTTTTACTTTTTTTTGGTAAAGAAAAATAGTATTTTTTTACTAAAAAATGAAACATGGATAAATTTGGATGACAACCAAAAAATAAAAGTGAGAATAGATTTGAACGACGGAGGGAAGGGAGTAATAAATATATGGTCACTCAATAAATTTTCTTACATAATTTCCTATAAATATTAAAAAAATGTGATATACATAAAGTCACATACTCCCTCCGTCTCATAACAAAGTATTTAATTTTCATTTTAATCCGTTTCATAACAAAGTATTCATTTTCTTTTTTTAGTAATTGTACTATCTATCTAACATTACAAATATCCTTAGAACTTACAATATATTACACAAATGTCATTACTTTTATATCACACATACTAGTAAAGTTATTTTAATCGTTTCTACTTTATTCCTACTATATTTCAATATAATACTAATATTTTTAAAACTACGTGTAAAAAATAAATGGATATTTACTTTTGAGACGGAGGAAGTAGTATAAATAATATACTCCTATATACTATTTTCTCTTAAAAAAATAATAACAATTCAACAAAAAAGTTTTATTATTTTTATATTATTGATAAATTTTTTTATATATTTTATATCAAAAATTACTTTACGCTAAAAAAACACTAATTTTTCTACCTAAAATATTTTGTTATAAATTTTAGGTTAAATTGTACAAAACTCACATTTGGTTTCACAAAATTGCACGAAATTTCCTATACTTTTAAAATTGCGTCAAATTTCCTTTTAGTTATATAAACTCTGCATCTAGCTTCTTCGGTCCTACTTATTTTACATTGTTTGATCTACATCCGCCTAAAATGCGAATAAGTTTTAGAATTTTCATTGCTAAACCCTTAAAATTACAAATATACTTAAAAATAGTTATTTTTATTTGATTAAATATTTTTTTTACTGTAAATATAAGATAAATTGATATATTTATAACTTTAAAAGTTTAGAAATGAGTATTTTGAAATTCATTTGCAGTTTTAATGCGTGTAAGTAAAAAAATGATAAATAAGAATGACCGAGAGGGTTAGGCGCACAGTTTATGAAACCACATGGAGTTTGAAGCAATTTTGAAACAATTGGGTATTTTGCGCAATTTCGTGAAAGCACACGTGAGTTTAACGCCATTTACCTTAAATTTAAAATTAAAACAGTTTTGGTAATTCAAATTTTGGATGCTTTTGTGTTTTTTTTTTTCTTTTAAAAAGAATTATTTAATTTCCAGAATTCTCTATAAAATATTAAATTCAAATTATTTAAAAAAAAAAAAAAACCAGCCAAGCA